TTTAGATTTTTTTTTAATCAAGAAAAATTTAGAAGAAAAAAACAACAGAAAAATCTGGCTTCTGGACCAACTGGACTCACCTCTGCAGTTTGCGTGCCTGGTCCTGGGCGGACTGTTCACGGGCGCGCAGCAGGCTCGTCTCGCTCTGGAGCTTGTCGACGGTCTCCTTGAGGCGCGAGATCTGTGTGTCGAGGCGCGCGCGCGTGGTCTGCTCCAGCTCGAGGCGGGACTCGAGCTCCTTGCAGCGCAGCTCGAGCCGCTTGGCGGTGAGCGAGCTGCTGGGGTCGCCCAGCGTCTCGGCGCTCGCCAGCCGCTGGGTCATCTCGGCCAGCTGGTCCTGCAGGGAGCCGTTCTCCTGCTCCAGCTCGAGCACGCGGGCCACGCTGTCCTGCAGCGTGGCCTGCTCGGCCGACAGCTGGTGCACGGCGGCCCGGTACTTGTTCATCACCTCGGCGAGCTCGTCCTCGTTCTCCTCGAGCTGGGTGCGCAGGTCGGCGCGCTCCCGGTTGGCGGCGTTGGCGCGCTCCTCGCTGTCGTGCCGCAGGCGCTGCGCGTCCTCCAGCTGCTGCTGCACCTCGGCCAGGTCCTGCTCGGCCAGCTGGCGGGCCTTGACGGCCTGCGCGCGCGCCATCTCCAGGTCCTCGAGCTGGTTGCGCAGGCCCCGCAGCGCCGCCTTGCCCGGCGTGTCCGCCTTGGCTCGCTCCAGCTGCGCCTGCGCGTCCGTCAGTAGGGCGCGGGTGCGCTTGAGGTCGCGGCGCAGCCGCTGCACCTGGCCGTCGTCCTTGGTCCTTCGCGCACGCCACTCCTCCTCCAGGCTGCCGAGTCGTCGCTCGCACTCGTGCTTGTCCCGCACCAGCTGCGTCCGCTCCTCGTGCTCGTCCTCCAGGCGCGCCTCGAGCGCCTTCACCTTCTTGTGGGCGTTGGAGCGCACGTCCTCCAGCTCGTCGTCCCGCTGGCTGATCTCCTTGCGGTGCTCCTTGCGCAGCTGCTCCAGCGACATCTCCAGGCGCAGCTTGGCCTGCTCCAGCAGCTGCACCTGCCCGGCCAGGTCGTCCAGCTCCTCCTGCTGGTCCTTGCACTTGTGCTCCAGCTGGTGCTTGGCCTTCTTGAGCTGCGCCACCTCCTCCTCAGTTTTGCCGCCGAACGTCAGCTCGTCCAGTTCTCGCGACAGTGAGGTTACCTTCTCTTCCTTCAATTCCAGTTCTAATCGCAGCGCCTAACAGAAAAAATTGTCAAATTAAAAATACAGAAAGGAAACAAAACACATTTTTCAGAAGTAAATTCAGAGGCAATGCACTTACGCTCAGGTTCTGTTCCATCGAGTACTTTTCGCCCAGAGCAATCTCCTTTTCTCTCGACAACCTTTCCCTCTGCTGGCGCTCGCCCCTCAGCTCATCCTGCAGCAACTGCAGCTCGGAGTCGAATCTGACGCAAAATAAAATTAAAAGTACATGAGTATAATTTCTCAGATGTCATCGACACCACCGGTCCGGCGAAAATGACTCACTTGCGCTGCTTCTTCTCCAGCAGGTTGTTCCGGGAGCTCTGGTTCTCCAGCAGCAGGCGTAGGTCGCTGGTCTCGGCGCTCAACTTCTGCACCTTGCGCTTCCACTGGCCGACCACCTGCCGCTGCTCCTCGACCTCCTCGTAGGCGTCCGCGAGCTGCGCACAGGAGAAACACCCCGTCAGTCTTACCGCCCATCGCACCAGATACACAGCGATGCCACAGAGTCATTACAAAAATAACACGGTGGAAAGAAATAGTATTCTGGAATAAATACTCTAACACTGGAAGTAACGGCGAAGACGTTGGTGTGTACTGACTTCCCTAACTTACAGGCGCTATGGCCAGATACGCCGTCCCCCGTACCCAATTTCCCATACACTTTTAGCCCAAATGAGAATTTTAAAATCCGAAATTTTTCAAGAAAAAAAAAGGA